ATCCCGGTCACAATACTGTAGATATCATATATCCTCTAAATTCATGACTTTCTCTTGTAGGGCTCATGACTTTGTCAAATCTTGACCATTTTACATGATCAGACCACCGGTAAAATCGCCGGATTGAGTGCTATGTTACCACAAGCAACCGGTCACATAACTTCCGGTTGAAAATCCTGGTCACAATGGTCTAGATATCATATATCCTCTGACTTTGTGACTTTTTCTTGTAGCACTCGTAACTTTGTCAAATCTTGACCATTTTACATGATCAGACCACCGGTGGAATCACCGGATTGAGTGCTATGTTACCACAAGCAACCGGTCACATAACTTCCGGTTGAAAAATCCCGGTCACAATGGTCTAGATATCATATATCCTCTGCCAGTGAATTTGTGACTTTTTCTTGTAGCACTCATAACTTTGTCAAATCTTGACCATTTTACATGATCAGACCACCGGTGGAATCACCGGATTGAGTGCTATGCTACCACAAGCAACTGGTCACATAACTTCCGGTTGAAAAATCCTGGTCACAATGGTCTAGATATCATATATCCTCTGCCAGTGAATTTGTGACTTTTTCTTGTAGCACTCATAACTTTGTCAAATCTTGACCATTTTACATGATCAGACCACCGGTGAAATCACCGGATTGAGTACTGTTACTAGAAACAACCGGTCACATAAATACCGGTCACAATGGTCTAGACATGATATATCCTCTGAAATTGTCACTTTCTCTTGTTGTAAGGCTCATAACTTTGTCAAATCTTAACCATTTTACATGGTCAGACCACCGGTGGAATCACCGGATTGAGTGCTACATTACCACAAGCAACCGGTCACGTAAATACCGGTCAAAAAATACCGGTTGCAATGGTCTAGATACAATACATCATAATATCCTCTAAATTTATGGCTTTCTCTTGTAGGGCTCATAACTTTGTCAAATCTTAACCATTTTACATGGTCAGACCACCAGTGGAATCACCAGATTGAGTGCTATGTTTTACTATAAACAACCGGTCACATAAATACCGGACACAATGGTCTAGACATGATATATCCTCTGAAATTGTCACTTTCTCTTGTTGTAAGACTCATAACTTTGTCAAATCTTAACCATTTTACATGGTCAGGCCACCGGTGGAATCACCGGACTGAGTGCTATGTCACCACAAGCAACTTGTCACATAACTACTGGTTGAAAAATCCCGGTCACAATGGTCTAGATATCATATATCCTCTGACTTTGTGACTTTCTCTTGTAAGGCTCCTAACTTTGTCAAATCTTAACTATGTTACATGGTCAGACCACCGGTGGAATCACCGGATTGAGTGCTATGTTACCACAAGCAACCGGTCATGTAAATACCGGTCAAAAAATACCGGTTGCAATGGTCTAGATACAATATATCATAATATCCTCTAAATTTATGGCTTTCCCTTGTGGGGCTCATAACTTTGTCAAATCTTAACCATTTTACATGATCAGACCACCGGTGGAATCGCCGGATTGAGTGCTATGTTACCACAAGCAACCGGTTACATAAATACCGGTCGTTGTTGCACCCCATAATACCGGCCCACCCGTCTCCATTGCACCCTATCATGCCGGCCCACCCGTCTTCATTGCACCCCATATCACCGGCCCACTCGTCTTCATTGCACCCTATATCACCGGCCCACCCATCTCCATTGCGCCCTATAATGCCGGCCCACCCGTCTTCATTGCACCCATATCACCGGCCCACTCGTCTTCATTGCACCCCATATCACCGGCCAGCTCGTCTTCATTGCACCCCATATCACCGGCCGACTCGTCTTCATTGCACCCAATAACACCGGCCAACTCGTCCTCATTGCACCTCCTTTACCGGCCCACCCGTCTCCATTGCACCTGCTATACCGGCCCACCCGTCTCCATTGCACCTGCTATACCGGCCCACTCGTCTTAATTGCACCATATTTACCGGCCCACCCATCTCCATTGCACCTGCTATACCGGCCCACCCGTCTCCATTGCACCTGCTATACCGGCCCACTCGTCTCAATTGCACCCTATTCTCCGGCCCCCTCGTCTTCATTGCACCTTATGTACCGGCCCACTCGTCTCCATTGCACCTCATTTACCGGCCCACTCGTCTCCATCACACCCCAGTTCCCCGGCCCACTCGTCTATATTGCACTCCATTCCTCCGGCCCACTCATCTATCACACACTGGATTCACTACTACTATTCATAATTTCCTATATAGTACATTGCTATACTACCATCTATACTATATACACCCGGCCCATCCGTTTGCCTTGGACACTCCACCCCCTCGGCCCACTCGTCTAACACGGTACAATTATTGCCATGGGCCGGCACCGGGTGGCCCGTCTCTATTGGTACATTGTCACGCCCGGCTGCCCGTCTGAGACGGGTATATGTTACTGCATTATGTGGTCACGATGACGACTTGACTATAGATATCAAAACGGTCGTGAACGCCTGGAACGATGGTGTTATTCGGGAGATTTGTGTCAAGGAACGATTGGAGAGCTGGGAGAAAATCTGTTGCACCATGTGCGTGGACCAGATTTTGAACGGATTGGTGTGGATGCGAAGGTATCTTGGCGAGGATGTGAGTCGCTGCAAATTTATTTGCGGGTGTCGCACGAGTAATAGCAGCCTCTGCTTCTTCTAACCTTGAGTCCGATTCTGAATCTGAATCCGAAACGGAGTGCGAGCACGAGTCCGTCCCACCTGCAGGCTCTTGCAATAGCCAATCAATGTATTTGCCGCGTGAGAAGACGGCTTCCTGGCGTTGAAGCCACAAAACCATCTGTTGCTCGTAATCTCATTTATTGCTAGCACGGTAAGCCTCTTTTGCAAAATCTATATGCAAACGCTCAGGGAGTTCTGTGTTAAACTTGTCAGCTGCACCAAACAATGAAATGGACTGGGCATAATGGGTGAGTTGGTGTAATTTGGGTATATTGAAATGATCACGTATCGCGAGTTCCTTGAGGACATCCTTATTTGCGTGAAATCCTGACAACGCAGCCTGTAGAGCCTCAAGCGAATCGGCCGTGTGAATTTGCAGCTGAGCGTAATACGAGAAATCGAGAATTGAATGCACCACCACCAATACCCGACTGCCAGCCATGGCTCAGCGCTCAGCAACAAGCATCATCAAGACTCGTCTCACACATACCTAGGCACTGCTCCAGCAAGTAAGCCTATAAAAACTCTTTGCATTTCTTTATGCTCACTTCCCGTCCATTGCTTCACAGTTGATATACCCTTTTTGAAGTGGCGAAGTCCGGGATAATCAGGGATAGCCTTGAATCGTGCGTCCATTTCTTCCTCCCCGATAATCTCAACACACCATTTAACTAGGTGATCCTTGAACACGCCTTTATGAATTTGGTGCAACAGATCCGGTGTGAATGCGAGGAAAATGTCAGAGTGAGGCATGTCAGCCCAGAACGGTTTGTAAATGGCACGTAGCCCATTCTCCTCGAATTCTGGTGGGTGCTGACCGTTCTTGCGCCTTTCCAATATAATTTTTGTGAACTCAGGATCACGCATCTCTGAGTCCAATACCTCTCCTTGCTCCTTCGCTCCCACGAGGCACTTCGGACATCGATTCTCCTTACAACAGGACACCAAACACTGCTCCGGGAAATCCGCGACATATGCGGCCAGAATCGGATAGACACGTCGAATCCACGAGTCTGTGCATACCATATCCACACCATCATTTCCAGTGGCGATGAGAGGATGAAGAAGCAGACTCATGCAATGATGGAAGAGTCTATGCCCAGCTAAGGAGCGCGCATCAGGAGTAAAGCAGTCGAGTTTACATGCGGGTAAGTACCCAATGAGCACAGTTGCTCGTGCAGACGCCTGACGCCTTTTTGCTTTGGCAATGTTGCCGATAGACATATACACCAGCCACGAAGTCTTGTCCCCTCGAAATTGGGACAATGAGGTTTTGTCAGATGCTAGAATGATGGGAGCTATTGTGGCACCATCAGGTAAAGCTTTCTGCGCCATGACAGCAAAAGGTCAGTCCGGTCAGTTCATTTTATTCCTCGATGGCACAAGCTTACCTGTTTCTCCACCCACCAATCTGCCGTCCACATTTCATCAATAACTCTATGCTCCCCCGCAGGATCTGAAAAAGCTCTGGCTGGGTTATAGGCCATATCCACCTGGAAAGAAGGGTTCCCAATCAACTCCTTCACACATTCAACTGGATCTCGACTCCATAGTTCGACTTGTTCTTCCAATAACTCTCCATTCTCGTCCTCACGATTACCGCGCACGGTAACCATATTACAACTCCACGCTGGACCATGCGGGAGTTCATCAATCCTTTGCAAGAACGAACGATTGTTGTGAAAGGGAAGTTTTGAGCGGTTTTGAGTCTAGTACACATATCAACATGGTGAGTTCAAATCTTTGATCAACGCTTGGAACATACTGTGGGTAGTTTCAGGAATTCATCGGTCTGAGTTTGGCCAAGATTTTTGACTAGCCATTGGGCTAGACTCCACTCTTCTCTGGCAAGTCGTCTTTTCAGTATATGCTTGGCCACACTGATTGAACACTCACGCATTCTCAAAAGGTGCCCACGGTTCTTCGCCCACTTCGTGTTGCTCTTTCCTATACCTTTCAAACACGGTCTCCCCTTGGTGCTGCGCCCAGCCCGCGCCTGGCTGCGTTTCGAAATACCGGCCATTATTGGTGAGTGATGTTGCGTCCACGTCATTGACTTCTTCGACAGTAACCCGACGATTTTTCCTAACTGTAGGGTTGTGGTCCACATCTGGTGACAAGCGCATGTGAACATCGCCTGGTGCTGTGTCTGGTGTGTCATGAACATCACCTGGTGCTGTGTCTGGTGCATCGAAGTCCTCCACATCTGCATCTTCAATCATTGATAACCACTCCCTTTGGCATGCAGGATGCCCCACGATATGCCTCTTGAGCCCCCCAGCCGTAGATGTTACCTTACCACAAAACGTACAGTGAGACATTATTGGTTCGTCGTTGCAAACTTCACCATGTAGATCCTAATACCCTGTTTACCAGCACGTAACGACCAACTACAAACACTGACTGCAATCATGGATATAACTGTGCGTCATCATTAATCCCCGTCCAACTTCCTTTTGACCTCTTCCTTTAGATTGTTCCCCTCATCTACTCTGCTAGGCCTTAACCCTTCATTGGTTAGTCTCAATTGCCCTTATTCGCCTCGCTGTCTCACAACTCCATTTGTTAGGTCCCAATTGCTCTTGTTCGCCTCGCTGGTCCCAATTGCTCTTGTTCACCTTGCCCCCTCGTTCACGCATCGCATGGCTTATCTTTTGCTCATCCTTACATTCACGCTTCACATGGCTTATCTGTTGCTCGTTCACGCTTCACATGGCTTTTCTTTTGCTCGTCCTTTCATTCACGCTTCGCATGGCTTATCTTTTGCTCGTTCATGATTCGCATGGCTTTTCTTTTGCTCGTCCTCCTTACATTCACGCTTCGCATGGCTTATCTTTTTCTTGTCCTTCGCTGTCATTTGCATATTCTGCTTGAGTTCATGCCTCACATGACTTATCTTTTGCTCTTTTTCTCATTTCAAATGCCTTGTGCCACCTTGTTCACGCTTCGCATGGCTTTTCTATTGCTCCACCTTTGCTGTCTTTAACTTATCCTTCTGGTGTTGACGTCCTTCGCTGTCTTTAACTTATTCTTCTTGTGCTAACACCTCGCATAGCTTTTCTGTTGGACTTTTTCTCATTTCAAATACCTGTTGGCCTAGGTTACTAACCCTGACTAACACCACTTTTCAACCCCGACTAACTGCTACAGACTAAACCAGGGTAGTGATACCATGAGCTGCAAGGAGGAGTTCCAATAGTTGAATTTTTGTGCCTCCTGGCACCGCTGCTTCTCAGCGCACCAGCGCCCAATTATCAACTCTCGGATAAGTGACTGGTAGGTCACTGGCCCTGTGATGCGTTCGGCGAGTTGTGCTTTGCACGCGTCATCACAACGCCTGATCTCCGCATCCCAGCGTTCTAAGACAAGGGTTCGCAGGTAAGTCTGAGAAGCCATGATGGGTCCTGGAGTCTGACGAAACTGGTTGCAATGGAAAATGAAGCTCTGGTGTACCAGGAGGACGTGGTACCTCCTTAGCCCGCGCTGGAGCCTTGACCACATGGAACGGCCGACTTGGAGGAGGTATGAGCCTACTCAATGGTCAGCTGCGGGTCATGACATTTCTCGGAGCAACCCACTTTTGGGTGACTTCAAGAACATTTTCTTTATCTTCGCTGAGTGCCGAGAAGACCGAACTGGGACCTTGGTCAATGCATGGTGAGTCTCTGACGAGCTGGCCACTTACTATTGGGGCATTTTAATGCATTTGGTAGTGTCTGGTGTGGGTGTTCGTTTTCGATCGTTTTCTCGCTGTTTTTATGCTGTTGCGTTGACTTTGCTTGGTCAGATGCAAACTCTAACTTCGAAATCAACAGAAGTCAATGTGCTCTGTTGATCACACACCGTGGCAAGGGTATTTAAAAGGTACTTTTTCCAGTTTTGATTTTGTTGCTTCCTACCCTCAATCATGGCAGGAAATATCGCCTCTCGAAGGGAACAGGCAATCTTGCAAGCCCAGCATGACCTATGTGCGGAGATGGTATCCACCGCTGGACGCACCGCAAGCAGTTCGTCACCTGTCGCCCAACCGAAAAAGAAACTTATCGAAGTAAGCAACTCTGTGTCTTTTCTTAACGCATGTTGGGCTTATCTCTACTCAACTGTTTTAAAATCTCGTCGAGGTCCAGACCGTAAGAAAGCCGAAGAAGCCAAGGCAAAGAGGCACAAAGTAAAGGCGCTGCGTACTAAATACCGGACGAATCCTCAAGACTTTGAAGTTGAGCCCGCTGATCTGCTGAGCGACATTGACCAGGACGAAGACACCATGGTCAGGTTCATATTCTTCCACGTACTCAAGTGCTCACAATTACACAATAGTTCTCGCATCGCAGGGTAGCTCCGACACCGTGGGCTCTCACATTTAGTGCCAGCAAAACACCTCCTGTCATCTTAGGACCAACAAAGTCGAGTAAGGCCATTACCAACTCGAACAAAGGTACTCAATCTTAGCTGGGGTGGAATTGTACTGACTATCTTTACGCAGCTTCTCTACGTGTTCACCCATCCAGCGACAACGACAACAACAGCGACAACAACAGCGACAAAGACAGCGACAAAGACAACGACAACGACAACGACAACGACAACGACAACGACAAAGACAACGACAACGACAAAGATAGCGATGGCAGCCAAACCCATAAGGAAAGTACCATGTCTATCTGGGAGGTCCCCAGATTCAAACAGGAGGACACCATTGAGGAAACCATACCCAAGATCATCAAAGGTTCGAACGGACAATTGAGGGCCGGGGATTATGACAAGATAACTAAGGATGTCCTCACCACGGCCACATCCATTTACCGGTGTCTAATCGTCACTCAAACGCCTTTTCCCGAGTCACTCATCATCGAGACTAAGCTAGCCAGGCGTGCGTGGCGTGAGGGTTCTGCTGTGGCTGGAGTTACAGTCCAACTAATGCCTTCATTAGTGAAAATGGTGAGCAATCAGCACATTGTGTGTCCCCGGTTGATGTTATGTTTGCTGTATAGATGACGAGACGTACCTCACATGTACGCGGGGAACTCAAGACGAAAATGCGGGGTCTCACAGCCACCTTTTACGGCTTCCGCGCAAGCCGGTCTATCGGGGCGATTCAAGCAAACCGTAACTTGGCCGAGCGACTCAAGGAAGGGGCGTCCTTTGTTTTTAAGGTATGTCTGCTTGATCTTTGTTAGTTGTTGTCTGACCAGGCGAGTTATAGGATTGGGAAATGAAATCTGGCGTATACAAATCTGATTTAATCCAGTCAGGGATAAATGACATGTGGTTTGCGAACTGTGTTGACGAAGGCATAGTCTATGCTGAATACTTCGAGCCTTTGCCTGTGAAGATGATGGCGCTTGTACTCACAGTGGTCAGTATCATCGAGCCATCTGATATTAGGCGTGGCAGCTGAATTATAACAGATAGAATGTTGTATTGACGAGTGGATCACAGGAGTGAGGGAAGACATTAAATTCGCATCCATCACTTATTCTCCCATCTACCTGGTGCACCTCGAGTCCTTGCGACTTTTTGATGAGCGGACGGCTGCCTACAAACTACTGGGTAGAATTACTGACAATCTTCTCGACGTCGCCCGGTGAGTGTCTAGGTACTTGTGTGGATCGTGATTCTAATTAATATTGATTGGTAGGTTCCATGCTGGTGTCAATCCAATCAGCACAGGAGAGAATGTTGATAGGTTCGCAGACGAGGTTTTCGATGATGCAATACGAGAGTATGAACTTGAGACTCGGGAAGCGTGAGGGGATGATAGTGAAGATGGACAAGTCGGTGACGGTCAATGTTAATGTTTTACGAGGCCGCTGGATTCTCGCGAGTGTATGCATGGTTGTGCACCTTGAATATAATTGATTTCATTTGTTTTTGGTTCGAGTGTGATTTATAGTAGTAGGACTGTGTAGCTAGCTGTAGCATGTATAGATCTATAGTAGTCGGACTGTGTAGCTAGCTGTAGCTTGTATATGCCTACTCCTGTTGTACTATATAGCACCTGTATTAGTCTGTAGTAGGGTATAGCGCCTGTAGCTGGTTGCTACAGTAGTGGCTGTAGCGCTATGTAGCTAGCCATGTGAATATGTAGCACTATGTAGCTAGCCGTGTGAATATGTAGCTGTGTGTAGTAAGGACTTGACACATTGAGCTACAGCTAATACACATACTATGTAGCTCCGTGTAGTCAAAGGGTTTTTTCCTGATGCATGCATCATGATGCATGTGCATGGCCCAGAAAACTCTGCCCAGAAGGTCGAGATGCACATCAACATACCTCGCCGTCTTTGTCATCACCTCAGCTCCATTCTTCTCCCAAAACGACATTCATGGAGCGTTCGGGTCTATGTATGATATGCCAGGATCAGGAGGCAAATATCGCGATCGTAGATTGCGGGCGAGTATCTCTGCACGTTTTACTTATCACGCGTATGACTTTTCACTAACTCGCACATACAGACATTTGGCCATGTGCCAGTACCTGCTCGGAACTAGTATTCGCATTGTCACAGAGGCTGTCGCGCATGCTCAAAGTTTGTGATGTGGATCACAGTGAGGTCATGTGGAGTGAGTCATATATCCGCTCGATAGACGACATCCCGACGGATGAGTTCTCATCCGAATCAGTCCGTCAGTCATGCCTAGCTCGATAAGCTGATCAATCCGTACGCCGCTTGAGATCGGTCCTTTCTAGGTCGGTTTTACCGCAGAGTCGAATAGCCGTTTATTTCATGGACTTGCTGTCAAATCGTGCAAGGTACGAGTGTGGGAGCAGTTAATGCTGAGCGTTGAACTCTCGATCGTGATGGCCAACACCTCGGAGGCCCATCCAGAGGCCTTATACTAGTGAGGACGCTGTCGCATTTAGCCAACACTGAATTTTCTATGTCAGATATAAATGTTTGTTGGGGTGCTGATCACCTCTTCATTGCAAGCCTAGAAAATCGCGAGATTCGCTTGATCTCGCAGACAGATAGATACCCCATCCGACGTATTTGAGAGACCCTTTGTTTTGGAGTGGCCCCTGCAGTTTGTCTTTAACGTCGACTTGTGCCGCCGCAAGCGTGGCCACAACAATCATACTGTTCTCCAACGTTAACACGTACGAGGTTCTTGTACTTGAGATTTGTAAGAACACCCTCGACCATGAACGACATGACGCTATTCGATTCGTTGTTGGTGAGATAGAAGGGAATGAAAGTGAGTGATCTTCAAACAATGATTACAACATTATTCTCATGTGCGTCCTGTGCAGGCTCGGCAATTCTGCTGCGCCGGCGAGCCCCACATGCACCCCTGGATATTAACCATGGTAAGTCATTCAATATTGAATCCAGGCGAGCTCCATCTTAACACCATCCGTAACACCGCAAACGGGACATAGAGACCTGACTGGCAAATGAGGTTCCCGACGCGGACTCAATGATCTGATTATCTTGCCGTCCTGTGATCATGTTGTACTTCTGGTTTGTAAGAACACCCTCGATCTCAATTCATTGTTGGTGAGATAGGAGGGAACGAGAGTGAGTTTGTCATCCAACCTGCAATTGTAACATTGTTCATATGTGTATCTTGTGCAGGCTCGACATTCTGCTGTCCCGAGTACCCCTGAATTATGTACATCATTCAATCCGGGTGAGCTTAGTGAAAGTCTAATTCGTCACCTCGAGGCTCGTGATCAGCCGTTGTGACCAAGTTGGTAAGTAAGAACATCACCACTGGACCCCAGGTATGGCGTTTCCGATATTAAGATGCGACTTTCTTGCTCTTTCCTTATCCAGCTCGCGTCCGTGCGCTATTCGCTACAGCTCTCGCTAGCACATTGATCACCCTTCTCAGTCCGTCCCACTCTGCGGGTCTGTGGTACGGCCTCCGCAAAACTGCACATTGTTCACTCAGTTTGCGGTCTGGATGTCCCCCTGAGCTCCTACGTGCGCGCGGACGTCGGTACATGTGAGCTTCCACATCATTATCACCGTCATGCTTCAGGGACCAGAACCTTTCAGTCGCGTCTGGTGCAGCATTGGCAGTAGAGTCAGAACGGACGCTCAGCATAATTCCCTCGATACTTTAAGGTGTTGGCTGAGGTTCGTCCGAGTCGGTAGCTGCATGCTTGCTGTTACAAAGCCTTTCTCATCCCAGAATCCTCCCCGTCTCCAGCGCCAAACATGTCCTCCAAGACCTCATCATGAACTTGATCGTCCATGTTCATCAAAGTCGATGCTGATAATCAGCCATATGAGTATTACGATCATCATCCGACTTTTATCACATTTGTAACATGGAGCGATACCGTCAACTCTTCACTCCGCTTTATTCAAGATCTCCTGCGGTTCCTGCTTCTGTTGTATGTACTCAAGCGCTTCGACCTCGACGATCAGAGGTCTATCTCAACTCGGAAGAGAAGGATATTGAGCGACACGATCAATTCTGTCTGCGTGGACATCACTCTCCACTCGGTCAGGGCGACCTATAGGCTATCACTAGCGCATCTTTTTTTTTCGCCCGGTATTTGACATCGAGAAAACGGCGCCCTCCAGGTGTGTTTAGGCTTTAAGAGGTGGAGAATGACTTGGATTGAATGAGTGGAAGGTCAACTCGTACTACGTAGCACAGGGACAGTCGTGTTGTACGTACTCGAGCAAAAGCACCTACACGACAAACAAAATATTTCGAATCTGATCAATTTACCAAAGACTCTACAGTAGAGAGAGATTGCGAGAAAAGTCAGCTAAAAGCACACGAAAATTCCTATACCGTTAACAAAGACAGGGATGAAAGGGAATCGAAGACTAACAACATGTAAATCTGTACCAGATGAAGCACTACACACCAATATGAATGAAAACAATCCTCTGCTCGAGCGGCACCAACTTCTTCACCCCATGCGTAGCATAATTGAGTGCTTTGGCTGCCTTCGTACAGTCCAAGACACCATCTTTCAAGTCTTTGAACATATTCTCGTAGAATGCTTCAACAACGTGCTTGACGACTTCATCATCGACCACCCACAGCGTGCCAATCACACTCTTGAACCCTGAAAACTGTAGGCCAGCTGCGAGGTGGATGACCTCATCGGGCGTCTCTTCATCGCCGACAGCGGTATGACACGCCGATAAGAATGCGAATTCAGCTTGCGGAGTGTCATTCTCCATGATGTCAAGGAGGGTGAGAGGTTTGTCTCTCATGGCAAACCGTGAATTGTAAGGTTGCTCACGGTCCTGCTTGCCGTGACAAGCCAGGTGCACCCAGGTGTTGCGTTGCAAAGCATCGAGTGCACCGGCCTGTGTAGCTTCTCCTCCCGAAAGACTGGTGAACTTGGCATTGGGGGGGAGGAGTGTATGGACGAGCTCAAGCTCGCTGTCGACAGCGGCGAGCGCCGTGCCTTGCCCTGCGCCCGGCTGACTTTGCCCAATCGCCACGAAGGATGGACTCGTCGCACGCGTCTTCATCGCCTGTCGAGATCTGATGAGAGCGGAAAGTGTGGGCGTGTAGGAGCAAATGAAGGTATCCTCGAGGGATAATTCCCGCCCACTTCCATCTGCTTTCGTTCGAGATGGATGAGCTGCATGGAGAGGAATGGATGTGAAGGCTGCAGTAGGACACAGCCATATTCGAGAGCGGTGCTTTACTTTGAGATCATGCCCAAGTAGTACGTCGACGATCGGTAGCATGATCTCATCCCATATCTTCTGCAAGAGTACTATCAGGTCTGTCCTCGACTCTGTTGGGCCCATCAGTGATGCATGTCGTATCGCCATCGCGAAGTCGTATTTGAGTTTCTCGACATCTGCGAGAGTGAGAGAGAGGAAAGGAACATGATGGGGCACCCCTGACGTCGGGACAATGATGGCATTGCACGAATATTCACTCGCAATGAGAATTATGACTGGGCCGTCGCACGCTGCCGCTTGCAAGTCTTCGTATGATAGCGGGAGGAGGAACCGCGAGAAACCTCGAATGTTGCGGATTTTGCCCATTGCAGCTTCCCACTGCTCTGTACACCTCCTGTACTTCATTGCTGCCTGATCAGCAGCAGCTCTGTCGGTGATTGCTGCAGAACCCTGAGCAGCATCGGAAACACGCTTGCTCAGCTCCGAAAACTCGTGAGCCAGTTTTGGGTTTGCTGATTCGAGTTCTTCGACTGGAGTCCTGAGCCGAGACGCCAGTGACCACTGCTGGCCACGGCCCTGCTCCACGAGTTCGACAGCCTTTTCCACGTTATGATGGCGTAAGGCACATGATGATGCATCTACAGGGAGTGTTCTAGCATAGTGGAAGGCGGCAGCAGCTTCATGCCGTGAAAGTGGCAGATGATCTTGTGGCCAGATGACTGTCAAGAAGCTCGAAGAATGTCGTGTAGGCCTCCAGTGCAGATCCATGGCCATGCTGCTCTGCTGCTACAGTCCAATTAAATGCTGTAACGATGCGTTGTGGTAAGCCTTGAGTGGGATGCCTTGACGCCAATCTGAAGTTTTCAACTGCGAGTGACAAATCAGCCAAATTGCATTGCACTCGGTAACGAGACAGATAGGCCTCCTGCAGCCACATGTAGCTGTAGTACCCGTCTGGGTGCAGTGATGGCAAAGCCGCCAATAATTCTTGGCAGAGCTCAATGGCCTCCTCAACATCTTCAATGTTCTGAGTTCTCGTGAAACGAGAGCAGAGTGCTGAGCTCAAATTGTAAAGAGTTCTATGGCGCCCTGGATCATCATGCCGCTTTAACCGAATTGATTCACGGTACAACTCGATGGCCTCGTTAAGATCCTCGTTGGCATGTGATTTGTCATATCTGGTGTCGAGCACGAGGGCAAGGTTGGAAAGTGTGGTGTCGCGATATTGATGCCCAGGTGGGCACAATGTCAGTGCCTCGCGATGGAGGCTGATAGCTCTGTTGATGTCTTCTACCTCGCCGCGTTGGTGGAAACGGTCGAGGAAGGCGCCTCCTAGGTTGTCCAATAGTGTATCACGAGATTTGTGCCCAACAGGGCTCAGGGACAGTGCTTCCTCATACAGAGAGATGGCCTCGTTGAGGTCATCAGATTTGCCCTGGTGACTGAAGCGGTAGTAGCGGAGTGAGAAAGCCAAGTTATTCAAGCAGACACCACGATCAGGATGTCCCTCGGGACACAGAGAAACAGCTTCACGACCAAGTTGTATGCTCTCGTCTATATCAACAATGCTCCCACGTTGCCCAAAATGTTTACCGAGTGCCCATGAAAGCTTATAGAGGGAGTTGAGACGGTGTTCATGGCCCTGAGGACAGACCTCGAGGACGATTCGTCGAAGGCGGATGTCTTCATCGGATGCGTCTATCGGAAGATTGTTGCATCCGCTAATTACATAATCCACGCCATTAGCCCCTTCCACGATGCTCCGAAGATAGGTGCCCTCTGGGCAGAGTGGCAGTAGCTCATGGTAGATCTGAGCAGATTCGCGGATGTCGGCAGCTGTCTTTTCCTCGTTGTGGCGCCAGGTCAGCGCTTCAGTGAGGTAATAGAGGGATAGCGGACGATCAGGGTGGCCCTGCGGACGCAATGCAAGAGCGTCGCGGAATAGACACGTAGTAGAGTCGATATCTTGAAGATCCCTGCAAATGTACCCTTTCAGGCGTGCGCACGCGAGGTTGGTCAGTGCAGCTGCGCGGTCGGGGTGGCCGACCGGACACCGCTCTAGAACCAACTCAAAATGTGCCACGGCATCGTTCAGGTCAGAGACCCTCTTGCTTGTCACATATTCACCAAATCTTGTGTGACCCACATCAGTGTCTCGAGCGATCTCGCAGTCGACGATGAGCTATAGTTTGCGATCTGTCAGTAGGAGTTGACAGTGCAAAGGCTGGCGTCACTCACGTTCAACAGTTCACCGTTGTTGTTTCCGCAATCATTCACAGCAGCAGCCTTCAACGTGACAGATGGGTGGACACCGCGAACAAGTGGGAAGGACATTTCTACGACACATGAGTAGATGTGCATGAATGAGAAGCAGGTTACTCACCGAAAGGCTCATCTCCGTGACCGAGCAGTTCATCCCAAGACATTTTAAGTTTTCCAATAAGTTCTCCATTGCCTAGCATCCGACTGAGCTCTAAGGATGCCCTTATCTCAACCGATACTTGAGGTGACGCATGTGATGGTCTACAAACCAAGGATCAGTTCTCAAAATCGGGCTTGAAAGGATTGGCTTACAGGTTCGCGGTATCGCCCCACGCTACATAACTGTTGGATGATGGAACTTGAATGGCTGATTTCCAGAGTCGAGTCGAGTCGAGTTTAATGAACACGTAGATGCCTGCAGGTATACGCTCGGAAAGAACATGAAGGTTTTTTCCGCTGATGACTGTAGATATAGCGTCAAGGTCAGAAAATGGATACCAAGTTGATATAAAGTGACCCACCTTCGAGTCTGATACATTGGTCGTCGAAACTACCGGCCATGATGGCGCAAACGACGAAGGACGCGGAGGATCAAGGATGAGCTGAGTGGTGGGCAGAATGAGCGATGGGACAAGATGGTGGGTAGGGATATGGGGACCGTTGATATTGGATGAGAGGGTGAGGAGGGTGCAGGGCATGCCGCACGTGTATTGATGAGTGTTCGGCATGATAGACGCTAGTGCTGATTCCATTAAGCGCCAATATCAAGAGATGAGACTTAGTAGGGCAACGGGAGAGCCTGTGGTAAAGAAGTGGCCGATGACATGGTCAGTAATCAGTGAAAGTGGCTAAACCAGGCTGCTGGTGATCAGTCGGCTGGAGCAGACATGTGCTGACCTGGCCTTACAACTTTCGTATCACTCATACGCGTCATTTAGTACGCTGCAATGGATGTATTTCGTAGTATGTACAATATTAGCAAAGTGGTGAAGTCTGCAGCCGCAAAAGAAGCAGATTCAAGTCAATACGAGTTGGACTGAGTTGATGAGATGGAAGAGGATGATCGAGAGAGTCATGTGGCTCACGTCCTGAGTCCTCCGAGTCATAGATACCTTCCCTGTCCTTCTTGGTGCCTTCTCCATATGTGAAAACTCCATGCCTTATATTATTCTGCTCAGCGCATCGACAAAGCAACTAGTTCATTGCCGATCCGCGTCGCTTGTCATTATTGAGAAGGTGGGTTACTCAATATATGATCTTGCTGTAAATTCACACTCGCGTCGGGAATGTTGCAGTAGGTCTTCAAGGCATGGCATGGACGTCCCACATCATCACATGTACGCATTTCAATGTCGTCGCAACCGGTGCTAGCAGCAATTTTCATCAGTGGAAAAGGTGGCGCATCCCACATAATTGTCGTTCTGGAGAGGTGGACCGACTGCCAGGACGGGATGTTGTATGATCTGCTCCCGATCGATCGAATATCCTAATCAAGCCAAAACTTCCAGCCCCGGAGATAAGCTTGTTTTTAACCGTGACGTCCATGCCGAGCTCAAGCTCAAGACTGGCCATGGAGAGCACCTCTCGATGAATCCCATGTCGCAATTCTTGAGAACTACAGCTGTTATAACCTTTCCCATTTCGACGTCCCATAACCTCACTTTCCCATCATCTCTTCCACCTGCAACACTTTCGCTGTTCGGAGACAATGCTATAGTGGTCACTCTTACTGCCCCGACTGCTGTGAGACCTCCGACATTTTTCCCGACACACACACCCAGGAAGTCTATGGTCGATGATGCAAAGATTTACCCCACGCACGCGCTGCCTTTCTCTCATATGCAGCATTTTGTGGTGCTCATCTTTTGAAGGAGGTCTAGGCCTCATCAATGGATTGTCGACGGATAACTTACCGATATGAAGGAGTCACTCGGGTATCAAGCTACACTTCCCAATGATGAAGTAGACTTGATCTGTGGATTATGTTGCAGGTAAGCGTTGTATCAGAACACTAACCGTTTGCTGACTCTTTCCAGCGAAACGAGGTCGACGAGACCAGCAGATAATGCTGTCCTGATTTCCCTGATTTATTTCAACAAGGTGGCCGTGGATGGGCTACTGGAAAACTTTTTGCGATAGCCGGTTCCAGCGGCCTCTCTGTATAATTTACTGTCGGGAAGCTAAATTGTTGATACCAGACGAGTGGAATAGCGGGTTGCGATTCACAATGGCCGGCCTTACGGACGATGTAAGCGCTCTATTTGTTGGCAAGGTACTTCGTTAGCACCACTCGTTGATGATCGTACGTGCCCCAGGTCTTTGCAGGCATGTTGCATAACATGAACGATTACGGTGAAGACGGAGCTAAACCTAGGTCTTCGACGCACTCATAGACTTTCATCTCCATCGTGTTTCATGCAGAAGCACAAGGATTTGGGAGTGGGTGGGGGTTCGCATGGAACTGACGCACGAATGCAGTACTACAAGGTGATACATCCTCGCTGTACGAGTTCATGTACTTCATCGATAATGAAATTTCAACGTGTTTCCAACGACATTGCGTGATATTTGGAGGAGATTCAAAACATATGTTTTATTGTGGTGGGGCGTCGTGTTCACTTAGCCCTTCGCTAGGAAAGTGTGGTATCACGTTCTTGATGCCCAGGTGGGCGCAATGTCAGTGCCTCGTGACGGAGGCTGGTAGCTGTGTTGATGTATTCTACCTCACCGCGTTGCTTGAAACGGTCGAGGAGGGCGCCCCATTGTAGATCCCGAGATTTATGCCCAACAGGGCTCAGGCACAGTGCTTCTTCGTACAGAGAGACGGCCTCGTCGAGGTCATCAGATTTGTCCTGGTGACGGAAGCGGTAGTAGCGGAGTGAGACAGCCAAGTTATTCAAGTAGACACCACGATCAGGATGTCCCTCGGGACACAGAGAAACAGCTTCACGACCAAGTTGTATGCTCTCATTTATATCAACAATGCTCCCACATTACCCAAAATGTATACCGAGTGCCCATGAAAGCTTATAGAGGGAGCTGGACGGTATTCATGGCCCAAAGGACAGAGCTCGAGTACGATTCGTCGAAGGTGGATGCCTTCATCGGATGCGTCTATCGGAAGATTGTTGCATGTGCGGATTACATAATCCATACCACTTGCCCCTGCCACGATGGTCCGAAGATATGTGCCCTCTGGGCAGATAGGTAGTAGCTCGAGGGAGATTTGAGCAGATTCACGGAGGTCGATAGCGGCAGGCTCCTTGCTGTAGCGCCAGATCAATGCTTTAAGGAGATGGTACAGAGATGATGGATAATCAGGGTGGCCCTGCGGACGAATGCAAGAGCGTCGCGAAATAGACAGGTAGTAGAGTCGATGTCTTGGAGCTCGTTGCAAATGTACCCTTGAAAGCGTGCGCACGCGAGGTTGGTCAGGGTGGCCGACCGGCCACCGCTCTAAAACCAACGCAACATGTTCCACGGCATCATTCAGGTCAGAGACCGGCTTGCTAGTCACGTGTGCTGCAAATCTTGTGTGACCCGCATCCGTTTCTCGAGCGATCTCGCAGTCAATGATGGACTAATAAAGTTTGTGATCTGTCAAGAGAAGTCGACAGTGCAAAGGCTGGCGTCACTCACAGTCAACAGTTCACCGTCGTTGTTTCCACCAACATTCACTAAAGCGGCCTTCAGCGTGAGAGATGGGTGAACACCATAAACGAGTGGGAAGGACAGTTCTACGACACATTAGTGGATGTGCATGAATGAGAAGCAGGTTACTCACCCAAAGGCTCATCTCCATGACCGAGCGGTTCAACCCAAGACATTTCAAGCTGTCCAATGAGTTCTCCATTGCCCAGCATTCCACCGAATTCCAAAGATGCCCTTATCTCGACCGATAATTTAGGTGACGCATGCGATGGCCCACAAATCAAGGACCAGTTCGGATCTGATATGCTCGGTGGATTGCTTTACGGGGTTAAGGTATCGCCCCACGCTACAGAACTGTTGAATGAAGGGACTCGGATAGTTGATTTCCAGAGTCGAGTCGAGTCGAGTTTGATGGACACAAATGCCTGTGGGTATGCGGAAGGAGGGGGGATAGAGGTTTTTCCACTGATGACTGTAGATAGAGTGTGAAGATCACGAAACGAGTGCCAAAGTGATACGGAGTTACCCACCTTCAAGTCTGGTAGATTGATAATCCATGTCACCAGGTATGACAACGTGATGAAGCAAACGACAGGGGACACGGAGGATCAAAGATGGGTTGGACGGTGGGCGGAATGAGTGGTAGGATAGGACGGCGATGTGGATATCAGGACTGGGGAAGAAGTTCAGTTGCAGTGGGTGAGAGGGGGAGGAGAAATTGATGAGGGTTCGGGTCATTACGATTATTTCCAATTGATGGGTGTTCGGTACGATAGATGCTGGTTCTCGTTCCACTAAGCACTGAGATGAAAAGATGGCAGCGGGAGAGCCTGTGGTAAAGAAGTGGGCAATGTCACGGCCAGTCATCAGCGAAAGTGGCCAAGGATGAACAAAGCTGGAGCAGACATGCGAGTCTCAGAGTGCCTTATGATGCTGACCCAGCCTTGCAACTCTTGTATTACTCATACGTAGACTGCAAGGGAATAGATAGAAACCAGTGTATTTCATAGTGCGTAAAAGCGGTGAAAATGATAGAAATCCACAGCCGCGAAAAAGTCGGTTCAAGTCAATACGAGTTGGACTGAGTTGATGAGAGGGAGAGGGTAATCGGGAGTCATGAAAACAAAAGCGACGGTCTGACAGCTCGAAGGAGGCCTAAAACGACTCATGCAGCAGATAATGGAATATCATTGAGTGACCAAGATGTATAATAAGCTTGAATGGCGAGCCGGTGTCTCTGATCAAGGCCCGAGGTGCCGGTGAGGGACTTGTATCACCTCGTTGTTGCTTGATGCATTTGTTGGTTTGTCGACCTAGCGCGGCTGGCAGCAAGAAACGCAGAATTTTACCAGGAGCTCCAGTACTACTACTGGTAATTTGCTGTGAGTTAGACTTTGGGGAAATGAGGGGTAGGACACTTGGCCAAGCTTCGGATCTTGACAAGGCCAAACAATTCCGTAATCCTCATTGATGCCATGTCCATATGCAACATATCGTGCACCCCTCGTGTCGTTCTGCTCACCGAATTGACAAGCCTGAGGAATCTGGTTCATTGTCAATTGCATCATTATGTGAGAGGAGCGCACTGGGACCTTCGAATTGGAACGAGTTATTTGAAAACGATAAAGAATGCTGGTGAGTCTCCGGAGTCCGGCCCTATCCTCTTTCACTTCAGCTCTTGTTGATATAGGTGAACGCCTATACAGCATTTTGGACGACTTTTTCTACTTTCCCCGACGCACCCTGCATACCGACTCCCTGGTGCCGACATCCAAAGTAATGTTCCCAACACGTACCAAACGTCACAGGGCATCATCAACCATGAGCAATAAGAATCCTGGTTTTTTTCCTCGTGCGGGTGAAGCTTTGGAATACAGGATGGACGGTGAGTCATTATATGCGATGTGTAACACTAGTCATCGGGAGAATGAACAGATCTGTTGTCCCGCTAATCAAGCTCACGGAACCGCTGCCATACGTATTGGAACCAAAGACAAGTAGCTGTTCGACCACACTACCTCGAGCGCACCTGGAGGATAAGATATGTTCATCGCCGATCTTCTGATCTCGGCCGTCACCTTGCACCAAAGGCAACACCATATCCCCCTGTCGTTCAATTTCAGACTTGCGCAAGCCCTCGATATGCAACGTCTAATTATCCATCTTGCTGTTCGTCCGGTCGATTGCTAATGTCACCCTTCCCATATTTTCAGAAAGGCTCGCGTCGCCACCAATATTGCCCCATCAATACTGGAATTCAATCATACATCGCATCCATTTCTCTATCTTCCCCCTTTTCACTGGCTCAGCCGTGACGCCTCCTTCATACATACGATGAGTGCATGCCAATATTCTTTACTCAAGCAGTATCTTCTTCCTAGCAGCGCAGTGGGTCTAATCGGTGCCGGAACCCTCTGCCTTCAAGATGCCCGGATATCCATGTCTTGTACTCGTATTAGATGCAGGGCACTGGTCATGCGCCAGGACGTTTTCGCCACAGTTTACTTATTTTTGTTATCACTAGTAGTTGGTCAAAGCTCGCTCTAAAATGTTATTGGGAGAATCATGTAATGCATAATGTAGGGGGAAAATGCTCAAGTCAAAAATTTCATCATCACAAACATCGTGCACGACAAGCACGCCTACGCTTGACACATGAAAAACACGTCTTTCGCAGCCAAACGCAAGAGAGAAGTGTAAGTAGAGACCTGTGGGCGTAAAACCAAGCACCGTTCAACCTGCAGCGTGTTAAAACGACACAGTGATTTAGGCGGGAAGAGGATAGAATAGATCATCCAAAAAGCATGCCGAGATCAAAGAATGTGGCTTGCTTAAAATGAGCGAGGCAGCAGACTCGTGACGACTTAACAAGCAGCAGGGGGACAGAATGCGGGTAACGAAGAATGCCTTGGGGTCAAATGTGTGAAGACAGTATCTGAGTTGCGTCGCACTTGAAAAACCAGTAGCATCCAGTGCCGGGGACTATGTAAGAAGCAAGCGAGAGAAAGATAAATTCGATGATGCTGAGCCGGCGATCTAAGCAGATGGCAGATTCAAAGCAGGGTGAATTCCAAGCGAAAACGAACTGATTGCGAAACCAAGCAGGCAATAGGTGTCATGATTTAGGACTGCAACCAGCAGCGAAACAGGGGGTGGCATGGAGGGTAGGCAACGGTGGCCGTAGTCAGGGCAAGGGCCGTACTGTAGGTTCATCTCCGAGCAACACATGAGCGGTGGAGAGTGGGATACCAGAAGTAATCGATCCCAGGCCTGAAGACCGTGAGTTTCGATGAGGGGAGCAATTCGCTTTGGTGACAAAGATGCTCGTTCCTCTCGAAACCGTGGCAGTAGAACTTTCTACCGAAGAATTGTAGCATGGTTCAGGTCGGACGGCCCCACACAGAGGAGTATTAGGACACGTGTAACACCGAAATGACCAGTCTGGCGAGGAATGCGAAGCCTCGGCAGTCCCAGAAGCCCAGTTGACACAATGTTCAGCGTTGTTCACCAATGCCGAAATGGTCGATTCACAAGCAGGACGAGCGGCGCGCTGCTCCTTCTGGTCCAGCGCTGAGCAGGCACAAGATGAGCATGACATCGATTTTCTGAAGGTCTTGACAGCCCCGTTGATCCTTGGCTCTCCAAAACGTTTGAGCACGACAGCGTGGGTGGGGCCATGGAATCTGTCGGATAGAAGAACAACTTGGGGTAGACCTGGACATGTTAGTATAGAATAATGCACGGATCGTCATCGTTGACATATACACAGGACGGCCTAGTGGTTTTGTTATATGCACTTTCTCCATGACCAACTCAAGCAGAGCTGGCTCATCTCGCTTGCACCACCGCGAGTCACAACTTTGTATTTAATCCTTCGTTATGTTCGTTCATCGACTCCTTCCGTCTCGCCAATAGGGCCTGACCAGCCCGACCCGTTTTCTTTCGCCCGAGGACCCCAGATATCCACTGCCGATATCCACGAGTCGAGCTAAGTCGATGGGACCTATATCTTATTGATTCAGCACCGTCTTTGCTGACTTGCCACCTCCAATCAATCATTAGCTGACAATAAAAAGTTGAACGCGGAGATGTACCGTATGGTTCAGCAATATCACCGAATAACTCATCCACAGTGAGACGTCATCTCCCGTTGCATCAGGCCAAAGCTGTATGTGCACCTCCAAAGCCAAACGTGCGTACAAATCCCAGGAGAGGAATTACATAGTCTTGTGAGCATCAGTGGGAGTCTTGATCGGTGAGACGAGGGTCTGAGGGAGCAGAGTTAACGGTATGGCAAGGCGGTGTGCTAGTTGTTGAGGTGGAAGACCGCGTGTTGTATGAATAGATGGTCGACGCGGATGGTGAGTATCTGTGTTTTATATTTATCACTTGAATGCAGCGACAGCCGAGTGCTATCGTCGTATTGTGGCCTGTATGAAGGTTCTCTAGCTGACTACCAGAATGTCAATAAGCTCTGGGGGGAATGATCTCGCGCAGGACGGGCGCGATAATCTACAAACCCAGGACTTGAGAATTCCAACCTGAATACAGTGATGAGGGAAAATATGAAGTAGAGAATTGCTAGCGCTTACTCGTTTCGACTGATGCTGACAACCAAGCGTGCAGCACCAACCAGAACGCTGCCTCAACTTTTTTCTAGAAACGAAGCGGTATCCTTCTGACAGCTCCGTGCGAATCGACTGCAGCGTCTGAGCGACAACAGGAAGTACCAGTCCAGGCGAAATCCTCGTGATTCCTCCGAAAGTGCAGTTATAATAGCGATAATGAAGAAATCAGCGACACATGGATGTGTAACGAACGACGGATGGATAAGAACAATGGCTTCAAGGGCGCAACTTTTTCACAACGCCAAGCTGTCAGTTGAGAAGCTAGGTCATGTCAAGTAATTGAGTGCTCTGATCGAAATGGGGAGACAACATGAGCTCACCCATGGCAGTGTCGAATGATCCTGCTGCGAACGGTGGGCTTTGGACCCAGAGCTTGTTCTTGTTCATGTCAAGGCCCAAGATTGTCCTCTTCCACGACACCCTCAAACTCCCGATCTACATCTTTATCCTCGTGGTCTTCAGCCTCCCCGTCAAGCTCCCATCCATAGTCCTGGTTTCTGATTCTTGGCCCACTTATACAGGGTAGTAGAAGCACCTACGTCCGAGTCCAATTGGTATATCAGCATCAACGCCAAGATCACCATTTACAAGTACACGGTCGAAGTAGGATGATTGAGGCGGATGGAGGAGTAACAATAGGCAAGATTTTGAGGGTACATTGTCCGAATGTAGGAACGCCATCGACGTCAGGGTCGGTAAGGCCAGCAGCCTCAAGGATTACAACTACGTCTTCCTCCAAACCGTTCATATTTGCCGTAAGATATGCCAGGGGATCTGGGTCGACGTGAAGTCTTAAAGATATGGAGTTGAAAGAACAAACTTACAGAGTCCAACATCGTGCAAAACTGTGGCGAGATACAAAACAAAAGCGACGAGCGGTCGAAGTTTTTGGTTACTGGTAGGCCTGTTCGACGATCTGAGGATACAATTGATTGACTATCGAACAACTGCAAGGGAAGAAGCAAACCTTGTGGCCACCCCGGTCCCAATACTCCGGTGGATCCGTCTGGCAGTCCCAAGCGCCACGTCCAAATTTCTTTGCAAGATCAAATTCGGTGGTCTTGTCTTGCACAAATTGCAGTGACGATCTGTACATTGCATGAGCTTCCATTGTATTTCACAAATATCCAATCGAAAACAAACCTCCGGGAAGCCATTTTGCTGAAGATAAGTGATGATGCTCTAGATTTACCCAAGCAGCAACATTGAGGGCCAGGCCTGAGGTATGATATCCTGAATCGTAAAGTGCAAATTTAAAGCCTCTTGATCAAATATCCTAATCGAGCCAAAACATCCTGACCCAGAGATCAGCTTGTTTTTATCCGACATCTAACTTGCTCAAGACTAGGGAGAGCAGCTCTCGATGAATCCACCTGTCGTAAATTTTGTTGAATAGTGTAGATCACCGCCTACACCCGGGTAATACCCAGTCTTGATTTGACCAAGGACTGTTTCTCCGCTCTCGACTTGATCTCACACCAGCTTGCCGTCCCACCATTGGAATCATTGGATGCACTTGCCACCTGCACTCAAACCACACTGCACGATCACACAATCATTGCAATATTATATCTGGTTCATTTCGAGATGACGTCCCGCAACCTCACTTCCCATCCCTCCTATCTAAAATACTCTTGCTGTTCGGAGACATCGCTATAGTGGTTGGCACCCCTGCCTCATCCCTATCATCTCGCCAGTCTTCGCCTATCCGATAAGAGAAGACTGGCGAGATGTGTAACACTCTCCAGGTGATCTTCCGAACATGTGACAGTGCATCGTCCGCCGTACAGGTGCACAACACCAAGTACACAGTTAGCGTGACCACTGCAGTATGTTGGTCCTCACTGGTCTTTGAACACATGTCCATCTGACTGTCATCACATTTGTAACATGGAGCGATACCGTCAACTCTCCACTCCGTTTTATTCAAGATCACCTGTGGTTCCTGTTCCTGTTCTATGTACTCCAGGCGCTGTTGCTTTGGATGAGCCGTTAAACAAGCATATTTGTGACACTCTGAGCTCGACGCGACCATGTCACGGCAAATGATTCGCGTCAATCAAATTAGGCTTGTGTCTTACTTCATTCTATCGATTAGATCTGATAATAGACTACTTCAGACACTCTTGACCGGCATCGCTGTGGCACGTCGTTAGCTTGTAGGATCACTTGCGGAGCATGACAATATGATAAGTGGAGGTCATGACTCTATATTTCGACACTCCGAGAGGGAGACGAAAGGGAGTACATTATTTGTTGCACAAAACAGTGAAATTCACGCTACAAAACATAACATCCTGCATTCAGATGAAATATTGTTAGTATACAGATGTTGGTGGTATGTAGTCATGCATGAAATACAAAATATCCAACAAAAATTGTGACTGAAATGGTGCGGGATCAAGTGTTATGTGACTCGAACCCAAATGACGGTGGAAACTCAAATGACGGTGTATTACTGTAAGGCCCGCTTCCTTTAGAATGACATGGACGTCCCACATCATCACATGTACGCATTTTAATGTCGTCGCAACCGGTACTAGCAGCAATTTTCATCAGTAGAAAAGGCAGCACATCCCACATAATTGTCGTTCTGGAGAGGTGGACCGACTGCCAGGACGGACTGTTTTGTCATAGATGGCAAGTTGTGTATGATCAATGCGTCGGCGGAGGTTAGGGTTGCCTCAAGCAGCTGTCGGGTGGAATCTGGATCAGCTTATCGGAACCATGACGGACTGATGGATAGGGACATCACTAGGAATTTCATCAACTGAGCAGATTGATGACAGACTGGCGGGTTGGGCTTGAACTTAAGATGGTAGGAAATTAGCACAACCGTGACGAGATGAGTTCATGATGTTAGATTATTAGTTACAGACGAGCGTAAGTCCCACTCGGAACTTATCTCTATACCTTAACCACGCAAAGAAATACAGACTAGGACAGCATGCATATGGCTGGGCATGATCTACAATTGCAGCCTCTGTGCATGCGCAATGACAAAAAAAGTTCGTCGTTCCCCATGCCTACGTCTTGAATATCCGTAAAAGTCGTGCCTCTGTGACGATGCGAGTACGACAGAGCGGACACTCGCGAGATGAGGCGAGGACTAGTTCTGAGCAGGTACGGCACGTGGACAAATGTCTGTAGGGGCGAGTTAGCCAAAGCCGTGCGTGCAATAAGAAATGAGAGATACTCACCCGCAATCCACGATCACGATATTTGCCTCCTGATCCTGACATGTCACACATAAACCCGAACGTTCCGTGTATGTCGTCCTGGGAGGAGAACTGGGTTGAGGTGATGAGGAAGATGGGGAATGATGGTGCTGGGACTCGTCATGCATCTCGACATTCTCGGCAGGGTCTTCTGGCCCATGCACATGGGCGTCTTCTGCGTCTGCCTCCACGGCTGAACTTTCCGCTGCCCTCTCTCTATCCCGCCGTTCCCATTCCTCTTGTTCCCTCTCCTCCCTCTCTATCCTATCCCTTTCCTCTGCTGCCGCTCTCTCCTCATCCAGCCAAGTACTGACGCGCGCCACGAGTTCTCCTTTCTCAAGGATATCAGTGGGAAGGCGTACGCGTGCCTCGAACAGTATCTGTTTCAGCATGTGGATAGGTAAACGCGAGAGGGATGATGGGGACATTGCCAGTAAGGTAGAGAGTGGTGATGGGGGTTGAGGCGTGGGTGGCATGGAGGGCTGAGGTGCTGAGCGAGGTAAAGTCGATGAACGCGCAGGAGGCGGGCTAGCGTTGGCCGCTGGAGATGGGCGTAGAGTGGAAGGAGGCGCTGGTCGAGGGGGCGTTTGTGGTAGAGATGGAGGTGGAGGAGACGGGGGCCGCGCAGGTGTGGTCTGGCGCCGTCTAGGGGGCTCGGGGGTATACGTTGTGTATGATGCTGGCTGTGGTTCAAGGTCAGGATGGGGGAAATCGGGTGGTGATGTGGATGTTTGTTGCTGAGTTGGGGGCGGAGGACGGGTGTCTGATGGTGTCTGGAAGAAGTCAGCGATACAAGGATATAGTGGGATAGACTTCGCAGCAATGATGGAATCCACGAGGTCATTCTTGTCGATACGGCCTTTGACGGGGATATTGTATGCGTCGACATAGTGGCGGAGCTTAGAGAGCGGCAGAGACTTGATGCATGACTGTACCTCTCCGCTGTGACAGTCCAATTATACGCCTGAAGAATACGGGCTGGAAAGCCTTGAGTAGGGTGCTTTGATGCCAGTCTGAAGTTCTCCACTGCGAGTGATAAATCAGCAGGTTTATGCTGCACCCGGTAACGAGACATATATGCCTCGTGTATCCTGAAGTGGGAGTAGTGCCTTTCGGGGTGGAGTGGTGGCAAAACCGCCAGTGCTTCCTGGCAGAACCCAATGGCCTCCTCAACATCTTCGATCTTTCAAGTGTTCGCGAAACGAGAGCAGAGCGCCGAGCTCAAATTAAAAGCTTTGTATGGCGCTCTGGATGGTCTTGCCGCCCTACCCGAAGTGATTCACGGTACCGCTTGATGGCCTCGTTAATATCCTCATTGGCATGTAATTTGAGCAAGAATGGTCCTGTTCATTGAAGTTTGATTGCGAGCCGGCTGGTGTGCGAGAGCTGTACCATTTGTTGGTTCGTTGACTTGAGCGCGGCTGACAGCGAGAAGCAGAGACTGTGCCGCGAGCTCCAGTACTAGTGGTATTCAATCATATTAATGGCCATGGGTGGTAGTATGAGTAAGCTTCGGATCCTAACAAGGTCAAACATCGAAGAGATCATCATCATCTATAATCTATCTATCTATCTATAAAGTAATCTATAATCTTCTATAATCTACTAGCCCACACCCGTTGTGCCTTCGGCACATGTCTACATATTACATTTACAAAATACTATATACTTTTATTTTAATTCTGAGGACAGAGACACGGGAGAATTTTTTGGGAAGGGCAAGAGTCAACAGCAAGACACAAACAGTGAGACTGAAGTTTACCTGGGACACTGGCTTGCAATCCCGTGGCCTCGTACCTCGGCCAGCGGGATGCAAGCCAGTGTCCCAGGTAAACTTCAGTCTCACTGTTTGTGTCTTGCTGTTGACTCTTGCCCTTCCCAAAAAATTCTCCCGTGTCTCTGTCCTATTTTCTGCTTTCCTATCTCCCGTTCTCCCATTCTCCTGTTCTCCCATTCTCCTGTTCTCCCATCCTCCCGTCCTCCTCCTATCTCCCCATTCACCCCATTTCTCCATTCTCCACCTTCCCATTCCCATGTTTACCCATTGCCCATTTTTCCTATCTTTATATTTTCGCATTTTTCGCATTTTTCGCATTTTTCGCATTTTTCACATTTTTCTATTTGCTTGGTGTTCCTCCCCTTGTTGTGGCTCAATTTTTACCTATAACCAATTTTGGACAGTGAGGTCGTATAGTAAGGGAGAACGGTTTTTTGAAATTGAAACTCCGATTGACAGAACCACGCGAAATTTCTAAATCGAGGTTTTAGCGAGGTAAGCGCAAACCATGTGGCCTTTGGCGAAATAAGCGGCGTTGGCGAGATACGCGTCTCCCACACACAGCCACAAAACCAGTCTCCCTTTCTTCTTAGATAAATCTAAAAAGTAATCTAAAAAGTAAGGGAGAAGGGTGTGGGAACGTCTCTAAAAAGCAAGGGAGAAGGGTGTGGGAACGCAGCCACCCACACATGGATGCCACGTTTCGTCGCATGGACACCATGTTTTTTCGCTAAGGTCGCTGAAAAGAGCGATGCCATGTGGTTCTGTCAAGCGGAGTTTCAATTTCCGAAAACCGTCGTCCGTTACTATACCGTCCGAATTGGGTCATATGTACATTTCGCTTGATTTGGCAACCTCACGTGGTTTTTTTTTTCAGCACCGACTGCACCAGACGCGACGCGACGCAACACAACACTGCTCTACCATTCCAGCAGCTCCCAATCACCTGCCGTCGCTTCTGATCACCTGCCATCACCTCTCACCATCAGCTATTAAATCCTGCTGCCTCTCAGTGCCCTCAACACTTCACCATGGCCATTTCCAGCACTGGCTCAGACGCATTATCACGTGACACTCCGGTCATGCTGGGTCATGTCACGAGGTGAGTTTTTCTCTCTCTCTCTTTGTCTGATTGTGTATTTATGGTAGCTACAAGGCAGGAGCCCAGACCTACTGTCGACTGGAATGCCAGGCTTCTGCAGGGCTTTGATGCAAGTTTTGCTGCCCGCCTGCAGCAACGTCATCGCCAGCCTGTCAACATGCTGGCCCCACCTCCAACCTCCACAACTCCTTCAGTACCCCCTCCTTCTGAGCTGTCAGTGCCTGCTGTGACTGACTGGTCTGCTGAACTCCATCGCCGCTGGTCTGAGAGTCACATCACGCGTCTTGAACGGAGACGACTCAACAACCCGTATGCTAAGGTCACCACTTGGCAAGAGAATCGCAATGCTATGGATTAGACAATCCATGACCTCCGACGATATAACGTGAAGTTGGCAAAGGACATCATGTGGTGGGAAGAGCAACATGAGCAAGACCTCAAGAATGATGATAGGGATGTGGATACCTTCTGCTCTCAGTTGGAGGAGGCACGTAAGCATCAAAAGCATCGCAGGGTGGTGGATGCTTGGCGAAAGCACCTCTTTGAGCACAAGAAGGGAAAAAGTCAGGAGGAGCGTCGGCATTTGGATGAGCTACGCGGGGAGGGCCCTCCACCTGGCTGGGAGCCTTCTGAATAGTTTTTTGTGTTAGAGTTGTTCCTATAATATGATTTGATTTCTGATTGGATGGGAGTGATGTATGAAATGGGTGATGTGACATTATTGGAGTGGTGGGAGGATGGGAGGATGGGAAATGAGAGATGGGAGATGGGAGACGGGAGACGGGAGATGGGAGACGGGAGACGGGAGACGGGAGACGGGAGACGGGAGACGGGAGACGGGAGACGGGAGACGGGAGACAGGAGACGGGAGACGGGAGACGGGAGGCAGGAGACAGGAGACAGGAGACAGGAGATGGGACACGGGACACGGGACATGGGACACAGGACAAGATAATTGGGAGGAAGTGTATGAGTCAATAGCATGACACAAACAGTTTGACTGAAGGTTACCTGGGACACTGGCTTGCATCCCGCTGGCCGAGGCACGAGGCCACGGGATCGCAAGCCAGTGTCCCAGGTAACCTTCAGTCAAACTCTTTGTGCAACATCCCATAACTAAAACAAAACTATATAATATTTTTTAAATGTAAGATGTAAGAATTTATTTATTTCACACAACTAAATAATATGTAGACACAGTGAGGTAAGGCACCAAAGGTGCCTTCAGCAGAGCACAAAGTGCTCTGCTTGCTTCCTGTGCCGAAGGCACAACGGGCTTGGACTCGTCATAGTATTATGGGAGACCGGTTTTGTGGCTGTGTGTGGGAGACGCATAGCTCGCTAAAGGCCACATGGGAACGCTTAGCTCGCTTAACCTCGATTTAGAAATTTCACGTGGTTCTGTCAATCGGAGTTTCAATTTCAAAAAACTGTTCTCCCTTACTATACGACCTCACTGTCCAAAATTGGTTAAGCCACAACAAGGGGAGGAACACCAAGCAAATAGAAAAATGTGAAAAATGCGAAAATATAAAGATAGGAAAAATGGGCAATGGGTAAACATGGGAATGGGAAGGTGGAGAATGGAGAAATGGGGTGAATGGGGAGATGGGAGGAGGAGGATGGGAGGATGGGAGAACACGGAGAATGGGAGAACACGAGAACACGAGAACGGGAGATAGGAAAGCAGAAAATAGGACAGAGACACGGGAGAATTTTTTGGGAAGGGCAAGAGTCAACAGCAAGACACAAACAGTGAGACTGAAGTTTACCTGGGACACTGGCTTGCATCCCACTGGCCGAGGTATGAGGCCACAGGATTGCAAGCCAGTGTCCCAGGTAAACTTCAGTCTCACTGTTTGTGTCTTGCTGTTGACTCTTGCCCTTCCCAAAAAATTCTCCCGTGTCCTCTGTCCTCAGAACTAAAATAAAAGTATATAGTATTTTGTAAATGTAATATGTAGACATGTGCCGAAGGCACAACGGGTGTGGGCTAGTCTATAAAGTAAGGGAGAATGGTATGGGGGAAGGGGTGGGACGATTTGGGCATTTCCGCGTAGCGCACATGGTGTCACCAGCGTCGGTTTTTTCATTTACAAGCCGCTTGGAATGCTTATTTCGCTAAGGTCGCTGAAAAAGGGATCCCATGTGGTTCTGTCAAGCGGAGTTTGAAGTTGCGAAAACCATTGTCCCTTACTATACGAGCTCACTGTCCAAAATTGGGAATTTGTAAAAATTGAGCCAAAACGGGATACACCAAGCAAATAGAAAAATGTGAAAAATGCGAAAATGCGAAAATAGAAAGATGGGATTGGCAGGTGCTCACTGGCCCTCCATTTTGCACAACAACAATGATTTTATATATGTACTGTAACTGTGAATACATGATAAATAGTAAAAATTGAAGGACAACAAGGGATTTTGGGATTTTTGTGGGGAAAAGAGAAAAGAAAACACCAAGTAGAAAAATGTGAAAATGCAAAATTGCGAAAATATAAAGATGGGAAAAATTGGCAATGGGTAAACAGGGGAATGGGAAGATGGAAAATGGAAAAATGGGGTGAATAGGGAGGATGGGAGGATGGGAGGAAGATAGGAGGACAACAGAAGGATGGGAGAACAATGGGAGGATGGGAGGACAAGAGGAGGACAAGAGGACACAATGGGAGGATGAGAGGGCTACAGGAGGACAAGAGGATGGGAGGACAAGAGGAGGACAGGACAATGGGACATGGGACAATGGGACACGGGACATGGGACATGGGACATGGGACACAGGAGAACAGGAGAACAGGACACGGGACATGGGACACAGGACAATGGGACACGGGAGAACAGGACAATGGGACATGGGACACAGGACAATGGGACATGGGACACGGGACAATGGGACACGGGACAACGAGACACAGGACATGGGACAATGGGACAACAGGACACGGGACAACAAGACATGGGACAATGGGACATGGGACAAGATAATTGGGAGGAAGTGTACAGTGGCTCAAAAAACTGTCCACATGTTTTCACATTTTTCACTATCTATGATATTGTGTGAGAATATACAAACACATCAAGGACATGCTGGTACCATATTGTAGTACTACTTCAGGGCTTCCAATTGAGCCCTATGGCATGGGAATTGGTCGAGATATGGTGGAGATATGAGGCTTACAAAATGATGACTCATGCGGACAGTTTTTTGACTCAAGTATTTTACAGTGATAATCAGGTATTCTAGTACATTGTGTGACCTCCCTTGGCTTTAATTACTGCCTCTATCCTTCTAGGCATACTCTCAATCAATTTCTGGCAATATTCTGCTGTAATCCTTGCCCATTCCACTGCTACTCTCTCCCATAGCTCCTATACTCCTTTAGGGGGGGTTTCATAGGCTTGAAGCATCTTCTTGAGTATTCCCCAGAGATGTTCAATGACATTGACATCAGGGGACTGTGCTGGTCAGTCAAGAACATTGATATTATGTTCTTTAAACCATTGTCTGGCTCTCCTAGATGTGTGCTTGGGATCATTATCCTGTTGGAAAATGATGTCTTCTTCATCAATCCCTGAGTCAGCTATGCTAGGCAGCAAGTGGTCATTTAGAATGTCCACATACTGCTCAGCATCCATCCTCCCCTCAACTTCAGCGGGCATACCCACACCATTCCATCTCATACAGCCCCATACCATTAGAGAACCTCCTCCAAATCTGACAGCCTCACTAACCTCTCTGTCTGTTAGAAAATCCCTCTTCTTTTTCCATACATATACCTTCCCATCTGACCCAATCCTATTGATTTTGGTCTCATCTGAACATATAACATGCTTCCAGTCCTCTACAGTCCAGTTTTGATGGGCCAAGCCAAAGGTAGTCTTTTCAGCCTATGTTTAATAGAGATAAGAGGCATTTCTTCTTTGTTACTGCCTTGAGATGAGCTGCCTTGAGAACATTCCTCACAGTTTGTGAAGAGACAGTGGTGGTGATGGTGGAATTGGTATAATGGGTGGCTTGGAGGGCATTATTAGCCTTTCCTGTAGTGATATGTTGGATGATAGCCCCCTTATTAGCAGAGGTGGACGTCCTCCACAAGAGTTTTCCTTGTCCAGGTGGCTTTCTTTGATACACTTGGCTGCAGTAGACTTGCATACTTCAGTTCTAGAGGAAATTTGATAAGCAGAGAGGCCAGCATAGGACAAAGAGAAGATATTATCCCTTTGAGTAGAGGAGACGGCTTTCATGGTAATTATGACCATGACACATGAGACATTCTGGTTTATATAGTTAGATATAGTTTTAAGAGTATGCCTAGAAGGATAGAGGCAGTAATTAAAGCCAAGGGAGGTCACACAATGTACTAGAATACCTGATTATCACTGTAAAATACTTGAGTCAAAAAACTGTCCGCATGAGTCATCATTTTGTAAGCCTCATATCTCCACCATATCTCGGCCAATTCCCACGCCATAGGGCTCAATTGGAAGCCCTGAAGTAGTACTACAATATGGTACCAGCATGTCCTTGATGTGTTTGTATATTCTCACACAATATCATAGATAGTGAAAAATGTGAAAACATGCGGACAGTTTTTTGAGCCACTGTATGAGTCAATAGCATGACACAAACAGTTTGACTGAAGGTTACCTGGGACACTGGCTTGCGATCCCGTGGCCTCGTGCCTCGGCCAGCGGGATGCAAGCCAGTGTCCCAGGTAACCTTCAGTCAAACTGTTTGTGCAATATCCCATAACTAAAACAAAACTATATAATATTTTTAAAATGTAAGATGTAAGAAATGATTGATTTCACACAACTAAATAATATGTAGACACAGTGAGACAAGGCACCGAAGGTGCCTCCAGCAGAGCACAAAGTGCTCTGCTTGCTTCCTGTGCCGAAGGCACAACGGGCTTGGGCTAGTCTAAAAAGTAAGGGAGAATCTAAAAAGTAAGGGAGAAGGGTGAGGGGGGGAGGTGGGAGGATTTGGGCATTTCCACGTAGCGCACATGGAGTCGTCAGTTTCAGTTGGCGTCGGTTTTTTCGGTTACAAGCCGCTTGGAATGCTTATTTCGCTAAGGTCGCTGAAAAAGGGATCCCATGTGGTTCTGTCAACCGGAGTTTGAAGTTGCGAAAACCATTGTCCCTTACTATGTGAGCTCACTGTCCAAAATTGGGAATTTGAAAAAATTGAGCCACAACGGGATAAACCAAGCAAATAGAAAAATGTGAAAAATGCGAAAATAGAAAGATGGGATTGGCAGGTGCTCACTGGCCCTCCATTTTGCACAACGACAATGATTTTATATATGTACTGTGACTGTGAATACATGATAAATAGTAAAAATTGAAGGACAACAAGGGATTTTGGGATTTTTGTGGGGAAAAGAGAAAAGAGAACACCAAGTAGAAAAATGTGAAAATGCAAAATTGTGAAAATATAAAGATGGGAAAAATTGGCAATGGGCAATGGGTAAACATGGGAATGGGATGGGAAGATGGAGAATGGAGAAATGGGGTGAATAGGGAGATGGGAGAATGGGAGGACAAGAGGAGGACAAGAGAACACAATGGGAGGATGAGAGGACAGCACTACAGGAGGACAAGAGGATGGGAGGACAATGGGAGGACAATAGGGAGGATGGAAGACAGGAGGACAGACAATGGAACATGGGACATGGGACACGGGACACAGGACACAGGACATGGGACAGTGGGACACAGGTCAATGGGACAACAGGACAACAGGACACAGGACACAGGACACAGGAGATGGGAGATGGGAGAATTGAGGGGAAAGGCATGAGTCAGTAGCAAGACACAAACAGTTTGACTGAAGGTTACCTGGCACACTGGCTTGCATCCCACTGGCCGAGGCACGAGGCCATGGGATTGCAAGCCAGTGTGCCAGGTAACCTTCAGTCAAACTGTTTGTGCAACATCCCATAACTAAAACAAAACTATATAATATTTTTAAAATGTAAGATGTAAGAAATGATTGATTTCACACAACAAAATAATATGTAGACACAGTGAGACAAGGCACCGAAGGTGCCTCCAGCAGAGCACAAAGTGCTCTGCTTGCTTCCTGTGCCGAAGGCACAACGGGCTTGGGCTAGTCTATAAAGTAAGGGAGAATGGTGTGGGGGAAGGGGTGGGACGATTTGGGCATTTCCGCGTAGCGCACATGGTGTCGGTAGGCCTCGCCAGCGTCAGCTGGCAAAGGTTAGATACGGTTATTTCGCTAAGGTGGCTGAAAAAAGCATCCCACGTGGTTCTGTCAACCGGAGTTTGAATTTCCGAAAACCATTGTCCCCTACTATACGAGCTCGCTGTCCAAAATTGGGAATCTCGCATGCTTTTCATTTTCGGAGTTCCATTTCCCTACGAGTTTCGAAACCCTCGCAATCTAAACACCTCTTTCCCCCCACCATCTGTTTCCTCACATACTATTGTTGAAATTGTTGAAGTATCCTCTCCCCAGTGATTATTTGTAAATTTGTAGTGAAATTCCCCTCCTGGGGTAAGCTTTACTTATTTAAATACAAAAATTACTTGAAAAATTCAAAAAAATATAGTGATTTTCGCTTTTCTGCTGTTCTTGGACCGTGTTTTGGACCGTTTTGGACCGTTTTGGACCTCCCTTGGACCCCTGGACCCTCCTGGACCCCCCCTGGACCCTTTTGGAGAGCAGGTTCGTGTGGTGTGTTTGTTGTTTGTTTCTGAGCCCAAATCCCACGGAGGAACGGGGGAAATTGGGTATACAAGACGAACGTGCGAGGAGTCTTGCGGGCGTCTTCTGCAGTTGTCAAAGACTGTCCTGTGAGATCTCCGTGTCAAGTCCTACCTCCCTGGCTGCCTGTTTTTACGGGTGTTTGCTGGTTGCTATCAGCTTTTGCTGGGACCTCTGATAGCACTACAGTGCAGAGATTTGGTTGGCAGGACACTTTTTTGCGTTGAGTCTGACTGCTGGGTGTTCTATCTGGCAGTTGCTCACAGTTGCCTTCCTATCCCCTGGGATAATATCTCGGACAGCATTTTTGTTGTCTTCAGCACTGTCATACGTCAATTTCCTGATGCGATCCTGACCTCGGGAGGCTCAGACTTCTTCGACCACCCACACACACCCACTTTTTTGGATTCCGACCTATGTGTGTAATGCATCTCTCATGTCTTCCTCGACTAATTTTGCTGCAGTGGTGTTTCTATCCTATCCATTGCTAGATTTTGCCCCATTTTTCGAATTTTGTTGCCACATACTGCCACGTTCGTATATCATTTATTTTTTATGGAGTCCTGCTAATTAATTAATTTCTTCTTAGGCTTCCTTCAACTCCACCCACTTCCCCTCAACGAGCCCAGTCTGCTGCGCGTCAAGCCGAGAGAAATCAACATAATCTTGGCTCGCCTCCTGCACAACGTCTACCGCAAAATGATCCTGCCCCTGTAGCACCAGATGCTCCCCATATTGTATGTCTATTTTCATTCAAAACGTCGACCATTGCTAACATATCCTATTCAGAATATTCCTCATATGCTAGGAAATTCAAATCATGCTCAGATCCCTGTGCAGAGATTTCCAGGAATTCCACACAATGCAATTGAGCGTCATGAGGCGCATCGTCAATGGAGTGCTCATCACCCACCACCACCCCCACCTGCTCCAGGCTTTGGCTATTTTCCTCCTGGTCCCCCTCTTCCTCCTCCTGTCCCTGTCTATCCTCCAGGATTTGGTGGCTATCATCTCCCTCCTACTCCTGTCCCTGCCCCAGCTCCTGCTCCTGTCTATCCTGCTGCTCAAATGCCAATGTATGGTGCTGTATATTATGAGGGTGCAGCTTGCCCTCAAAATATGCAAAATGCCCATCCCATTCCTCAGCCTGGTGCTCAGGGAGTACGTGTTGACCATAATTTCAATCTAATGGACAATTTCCATCGTGCTCATGAGGAACGTCGAAGGCAAAGACGCAACAGACGAGATCCTGCTCCAAATCCACAACCTCCTGATCTGCCCCCTGCCCCCAATCCTCCCAATCTTTATCAACCTCCTGCTCCTTTTAATCCTCCTAATCCTCCTCCACCTCAACCTCAACCTTCTGCTCCTCAACCTGAACCTGATTATGCTCAGTTCAATGTTCAGTTTCATCATCATTTGCAAAACTTGCAAAATCAGGTTGAAGATATGGAAGATCCACGTCTTCGCCAACTTAGGGAGGAAATGATGGAGTGACAAGCACAGGAGGCTCACCGTCAGCAACAACTTCAGCAGGAGTTACAGTGTCAACAAGAGCTTCATCACCAGTTGGAACTTCGACGTCAGCAGCAGCTCCAGGAGGAGGAGGAGCTGCAGCATCAGCAGGAGCAGCATCGTCAGTTGGAAAATCAGTGTCAGCAGGAGATTTGTGATGAGTTAGAACATTGTCACCAGCAGGAGTTTCAGCGTCAGCAGGAGCTACGACATCAGCTAGAGCTTCAGCATCAACAGCGGCTTCATCAAGAGTTGCAGCACCGTGAGGCTGAGGAGATGCGTAGGCAAGCACTTGATTTGCAAGCCCAACAAGAAGCTCTCTTGCATGCACAGATGGAGGAAGTACATCGTGATCAGATAGCTCAGCAGGAGCAGCAGCGTCATCTTCAGGCAGAGCAATGAAGGCTTGCATATGATGAGCGTATGGAAGATGCGCATATGGACGATGCTTGGCAGGACTATCACAATCCAGGATCCCAGGAGCAGCATGACCAGGATGAGGAGAGGAGGAGAGCTCAGGAGCATGAACATCGTCAGCAGAATAATCCAGAGGATGAGCAACATGCTGATCAAGCACCACCACCACCACCACCACCACTACCACAGAACATTCCTGTTCCTCCTGGAGGTCGACCATATGCAGAGCCTGTTAATCATCACACTCTTGGTCCTCTCACTGTAGAGTGTCCCGACTGTCATGCCCGCCACTTTGCAACTGAAAGACTCACCAACTCCTCTGCACGTAATCCAAAATTTGGCATGTGTTGCTTGCAGGGCCAAGTTGATCTCCCACCTCTCCTACCATGGCCTCCTGAGCTCCAGCAGTTGTATCAACAGCGCGAATTTATCACCAACATTCGTCAGTACAACAGTACTGTGGCATTCACCTCTGTTGGTGTTAAAGTTGATGACCTTGCTCTTCGAGGCTCTGGCCCAAGCTCCTTTCGCATCCATGGATCTCTCCATCACCTCATGGGAAGTCTTATGCCTGGAGAAGCTCAACAGCCTGCCTATGCTCAGCTTTATGTCTTTGATGCAGAGCATGCCACCGATGTTCGTGTTGACAGAAATCGCAATCTCAATCCTCAGATTCTCAGACAACTCCATGATATGCTCTACAGACACCATCCCTATACTCAACTTTACAAGGCAGCCTATCAAGTCATGATAGAGAAGCCTCCAGAGCAGCACAGAGATGTTCAAGTACGCATTCACTTCAAGCCAGGCTCTGATAGTCGAAGATACAATCTTCCTACTTCCAATGAAATTGCTGCCATCATTCCTGGAGATGGATCTGAGGACGTTTCTAACAAACGCGACATTGTATTGCGACTCCAAGGTGGTGAGCTTCGCCGTATTAGCCAGCTCAGTCATGCCTATTCCACCCTTCACTATGTCCTCCTCTTTCCTTCTGGTGAGGAGGGATGGCATCTTGACATTCCTCTCCGTCCCCCTGAGGGTGGTCGTGGTCGTGCAGAAAAAGTCACCCAGCTGCTGTATTATGGCTATCAGCCTTCACATCCGTCCACCTGCAATCGAGCCTGACAACATCTTTCGTGCAGGACGACTCTTCCAGCAGTATGTGGTTGATGCTTGGGCTACTATCGAGCAACGGAATTTGAACTGGATCAGAAACAACCAGAAGAGGCTCAGGGCAGACTGCTATAGAGGCTTGACAGATAATGTCCTTAATGAAGGCATTGATGATCTGGCTGAGACAGGGCGTTCCTTCATCCTTCCTTCCTCTCATAGTGGAGGTCCTCGCTATATGTATCAACTCCTTCAGGACTCCTTGGCTATATGTCGTGCATGCAAAAAACCAGACCTATTCCTCACCATGACTGCAAATGGGAGTTGGCCTGAGATTGCTGACAATCTTCTTCCAGGTCAGTTCGCATTTTTTGCCTTATTGATGATTTCATTGCTGATCAGTCATAAAGGTCAGACTGCTGTTGATCGTCCAGACTTGGTGGCTCGCGTGTTTTATCTCAAGCAGCGGGCCCTCTTGAAGAAGGTTCGCGATGGCTTCTATGGAAAGGTCGCTGGATTGGTGTACACCATCAAATATCAGAAGTCGTGGTCTCCCTCACATGCATCTCCTCATCTTCCTCGAGCCAGAGTACAAGATATGCACTGCAGAGCAGGTCGACTCCCTCATCTCTGCTCAGATTCCTGACCAGAACCTTCATCCACAACTCTATGAAGCTGTCAGCAAATTCATGCTCCATGGTCCCTGTACTCCAGAACGTTGCTTGGAGAATGGTCGTTGCAAGAAGCATTATCCAAAGACCTTCTGTCCTCAAACACTCATGAAGGACGATGGCTATCCAGAGTATGCACTGACCTGACAATGGCCACACCATCCAGAAGCCTAATGGCAATGTCTTCACCAACAAAGATGTTGTTCCTTATCCTCCAAGGCTGTTGGCAGAGTTTGACTGCCATATCAACATGGAGGTCTGTGTGTCCATCAAGTCTGTCAAGTACATCCACAAGTACATCTACAAAGGACACGACCATGCCACCTTGGAGATGGGAGGAGCTGTGGATGAGGTCAAATCATACCTTGACTCCAGATACATCAGCTCTGTCGAGGCTATGTGGCGCATCTTTGAATTTCAGATGCATGAGGAATGGCCCACTGTCTATCGCTTGCCAGTCCACCTCCCTGATGAGCAGATGGTCATCTATGATCCTGAGGATGATGCCCAAGATGTTCTGGACCAGTGCTGCAGCCAAGGAGACTTGCCTTACTGGATGGTTCATAGCCAATTCTGATGAAGACCTGGTGGCAGCTGGAGCCCATGACTATCTCTACCAAGACTTTCCCTCCCGCTTTGTCTGGGTTGACAAGAAGGCATGGAAGGAACACCAACGCGGAAAAGCAATTGGAAGGATGTATGCTGCTGGACCCAACTCTGGAGAGCACTTCTATCTGAGATTGCTTCTGACTGTCATTCCAGGTGTGTATCATTTGATCCCTCTCATGTCTGCCATCTGCTGACTATTGTTTTTTTGAAGGGGCTACCTCCTATGAAAACCTTCGCACTGTTGACGACCATGTCTGTGCTACTTTCAAGGAAGCATGTCAGCTCAGAGGTCTCCTTGATGATGATGGGGAATGGAAGCAATGCTTGAGAGAGGCCTCTCACATGTGCACTGGACATGGCCTGCGAAGTCTTTTTGTCATCATACTCCTCCACTGCCTCCCTACCAACCCTCATCTGCTTTGGAACGACTTCAAGGACAATCTTTGCGATGATCTGCGTCACCGTCTCATTCATCGACTGCACATACAGGATCCCACTCCAGAGCAGGTCCATGACTATGGTCTCTATCTCATTGATGGTCTTCTTCACAAGAATGCCAAGTCCCTCAAGGTGAACTTCCCTGACATACCTCGCTCTCATATGAACTGGGGGGACAGGGAGGGAAACCAGCTGATAGTCGAGCAACTGGACTATGACCAGGACGTTCTCCAGGAAGCTGTGGATAGAGGAGTGCCCACCCTCAACCAGGAGCAGAGACAAGTCTTTGATGCAGTGGTTGAAGATGCCATGAATTAGTGATGATCAAACACCTGGACATCCCCACTTTGTGCACAGTGCAGGTGGATGTGGCAAGACATATCTCTGCAATCTCATTGCTTCAAAACTGCATGCTGAGGGCAAGATTGTTCTCTGTGTGGCTTCCTCTGGAATTGCCTCTCTCCTTCTGCCAGGTGGACGAACAGCTCATTCCCGTTTCAAGCTCCCCATCCCCATCCATGAGGACAGCACCTGCAACATCAAGAAGGGCGATCCTGTCCATGAGCTTCTGAAGCGTACCTCTCTGATCATCTGTGATGAGATACCAATGCTCCACTGTCACAACCTGGAAGCCTTGGACCGCACCTTACGTGATCTTCTTGGTGTTGATGCCGACTTTGGAGGAATTACTGTGCTGTTTGGAGGAGACTTCAGACAGACCCTGCCAGTGGTGCCTCATGGATCCAGGGAGCAGATTGTCAGTGCCACCTTTTGCAGATCTCACCTCTGGCCAAGACTTCGCATCTTCCACCTCAAGACAAACATGCGTCTTGGTCAAGATCCTGCATCTGATCAATTTGCTGCATGGCTCCTTGAGATTGGGGGTGGTATGGGCACAGATGGAGATGGCACAGTGACTCTTCCAGAAGGAATGCAATGTCCCAACAATGACATCCCATCCCTGATCAACAAACTTTACTCTGATGTCCTCCAACCCAATCATCCTCCCTTGCCTGACTCCTACTTCCTGGACCGCACAATCCTCTCTGCAAAAAACACTGATGTGGACGAGATCAACACCTCAATTCTCGACTCATTTGCTGGAGACAAGAAGTTGTTCACAAGTGCAGACTCAGTGACAGACAGGGAATACGAATACATCCCTCAAGAGTTCCTTCACACTCTTAACCCATCAGGGTTCCCTCTGCACAAACTGGAGGTGAAGAAAGGAGTGCCTCTGATGCTCCTGCGCAACTTGGACCCCACACAGGGACTGTATAATGGGACTCGGATGATCCTGGTGGATTGGAACACAAGAATTCTCAAGTGTCGAATTCTCAAAGAGGGCAACAACCAAGTGGATGGTCAAGATCAAGACACTGTGCTAATTCCTCGGATGAATATGGAGGCCAGTGATGAAGAGAACCCCATTCCTCTGAAGCGTCGACAATTCCCTGTGCGACTTGCATTTGCAATGACCATCAACAAGGCTCAAGGTCAGAGTGTCAAGT